CCCTCCCGCGCTAGCCTAAGGGCCACCTTAGCAAAGCGCATCCCAGGCTGCATAGCCGCACTACCCTACCCAACCATACCACACATAAACATGACACTACCCCCGGGGTTTACACAGACGAGCCGGCGAAGCAAGAAGAGCGCCAGAAGAAAGGGCCCTAGCCGGCGGGGCCCAGCCAGGACAAAAGGAGGTCCCACAAAGCGCCTACACCGGCCGCATTTGCGGTCGGGGTAGACGACGGATGGGGCCCACCTACGAAGGCTGTCCAGGCCTACACGAGATGAGGCAGGATAAAGAGGGATAATCCCCCTCGATCCAAAATCATTGAGGCCAATTTCTAGCGCGGCGCGATTTCAAATGTTTTCTAAAACCGCTTAACTATTTTAACATAGCAATTAACAATATAATTAGGAGTTTATAAGGTTAACTATTGGTTTATGATCTCATATTTTAGTCAATTTTCTTTAAAAATTAAAGTTATCAAAACCGCACTTATAAATACATGTCGAACTTTATACTATAGGAATATACGAAATAGTCATATGAAAAGTGTGAACGTGCGAATTTACAAACAGGCCTTAATTCACCTGATTACATCGTAATTTTCGAAAACTCCTTTCAATTTTCTAGAATCGTAGAATTCTGTTCCTATGCTCCTACATCTATGGGTTGTTCATGTGACATGTAAGGATTGTAAGGTTATGATCGTTATTACTATTTACTTGCGAAGGAAAGTTTAAATAGGAAAGTTTATTAGTTTGAAAATATAAATGAGAGAATTCTCTATTCCCTAGTGAAGAAGAATATATTGGAAAATCCTTTTATTGCCATATATTATCAAGATAAATTGTTTAAATGGAGAATTTTGTGGAACAACATTGTAGGCTATGCCTCGGTGTTTTAAGCGACGAACAATTTGAAGAGATAGAAGAAACTACCAGAAATATTTTTGGCTTTTTATTATTAAATCTGGTACGATCATTAACGGGTTTAGCCAATAAGTGTTACTGATTATATTAATCCAATTTTCAGGATTTTGACAACTCGAATAAACACGTAATATGTAATGATTGTTCACTACAGGTAAGAGAAGCATACGAATTTAAGTCGATGTGCCTCTATACTGACAACACCATAATTCCTCATGTCGATTATGAAACAGAACGTTCTGTTGACTTAAGAGAGATTTACGTGTTGGAAACAGAAGACAAGCAACTCATGAATAAATTAAATGTTGATCATAAAGTTTGTCGGTTATGTATGCAGTTAACAAGTAGTGAATTTATGTCGATACATAAATTAGAGGTTGATATGACGGAGAAATATATTCCAGAAATAGTAAGTATATAGCGACATACAGCAATATACAAAAGCATGTTGCATTTTTTAGCATATCAATAACTATAAAAAAAAACCAAGGTTGTCCAACCTTAAAATGCACTTTGTAGAATTTCAGTGTCGTCAAAGATCCCATTATTTGCAAACAGTGCTTTGTTTCCTTCAGTACCCACAGTAGTTTCATACAGAAATGCTTAACAATAAAGGAAAACGTTAAGAGTGTTCATGGTACAAAAGTCACTACAAGTTTGGGCTGGACTCCATCCTTAGTTTCTCCCGTTAAAGTTGAAGAGATCAATTCCTTAGTTTCTCCCGTTAAAGTTGAAGAGATCAATATAAAATCGGAATTAAATGGACAGGAAGATGAGTTTATCAAAATGGGATCTACTGCACTGAAATTTGAAGATGAAGAGATGTTGATTAAATCTGAGTCTTTGGATATAAAAGTAGAAGAAAATGATAAAGAGAGGTATGTAACTCAAAATTGTTCTGATAGCGATACGAAGGACTGCAGCGCGCTCAACATATTTCAGAATAACGTAAATCAATTTTAAATAAATTGTTGAAATGAGATAAAATTTACATCACACTTAACCTTTTCACTGCGGTATGTAGTAAAAGTAGTATAAGTATCCATTACTACATAATTGGCGTTGAGTTTTTTAGAAAATATGTTTTTTTCTCCACTTTTGAAAGAACGTATATTATTTTTGGGGTAATAGCCTCCTCACAGACTCTAATGCATCTATTTCCATATTTGGAGGAAGTTCTTTTTCAAATTCGTTTTTGCAAATTTCTACTTTGTGCAGAGCAGACAAGACAAGCAAGATTTGTAATCAGCTATCCCAAAACCCCAAAGTACCTATACATTGTCAGAAGAAAATTCCTCAAACCCTCAAAAAAGGGATTTAACTTTAACATCGTGTATATCAAAAATGAGAGCTTCAAAGGCAGATGTTTGTATAAAAAACATTCTTAAATTTGGAGAAAACATGTTATATCTTATATGTTGTAGTGTTATAGTCCACATTTCGTCGAAAAATGCTAATTTAAAAAATGTATAGGAAATATAAAAAAAATTCTTTCTGAATTTCTTTAAGCTTTCATAATTTTTTAAGCAAAAACAGTAGACAAAACTAAACTTTTCAAAAATCGATTAAAAAAAATCTTCGTATGAAGAAAATCGAAGGAATATTTACTAAAAAATAAACATTTTTCAGTTACATATTTCCGGATATTTCACCCCATGAACTAGAAGAGACAGAGGAGATTTCCGAAGTAGACAAGAGTATAAACCAATTTGAATCTGATCAGATACCCAAAATATACATTTGTGATAAATGTAATTTTCAAAGTAAAAACAGGAAAAGTTTCATAGGTCACCAAATAGTACACAAGGATCCCTCGGCCGTGCAATTGTACAAGTGCGATTTGTGTGATTTTGAGTCCAAATATAACGGGTCTTTTAAGCGTCACCTGGTGAAACATGTTAAGGGCGCTACATTTTCGGAAGCACCGATACTCAGGTGTGATTCGTGTGATTACAAAACGAAATATAAAAACAAACTCAAGTGCCACCAACTGACACACACGAATCCCTCAGAGGTGCGGTTACACACGTGCGATCTGTGTGATTTTAAGTCGAAATATAAGGAAAGCATAAGACTTCATCAGTTGAAACACGCTGATCCCACAAAAGTACAGATGTACTCTTGTGAGTCGTGTAATTTTAAGACTAAATATAAAGGGAGTCTTAAGCTTCACCAGTTGAAACACGCCGATCCCTCAAAAGTGGATATGTACTCATGTGATCTGTGTGACTTTAAGGCGAAATACATGAACAAACTTAAGCGGCACAAAGCGAAACACATGGAACTTTCGCAGGCGCGGACATACAATTGCAATGAATGTAATTTTAAGTTTAAATATGTAGAGTCCTTTAGGCAGCACCAGTTGAAACACGCTAATTGTCGGCAAACACCGACGTACGAGTGCGACTTGTGCGTATTCGCGACTAAAAGAAAGAGCGGTCTTATTTCCCATAAGTTGCAACATGCTGACCTCTCACAGATACAAATATACAAGTGTGACGTATGTGACTTTCAAACTAAGTATAAGAACAAACTTGAACCCCACCAGGCGACGCACGCGGATCCATTGAAAGCACAGTTGTACACATGTGATTTGTGTAATTTTAAGTCCGAACGTAAGAGCAGTCTTTATTTCCACCAAATGAAACACACGAAACACTCGGATATGAGAATTCACAAGTGTGATTTGTGCGATTTCGTGTCGAAATATAAATTCGACCTTAAGTACCACAAGTTGAAACATGCCGATTCTTCGGCAGTGCCAGGGTACAAATGTGATTTGTGTGACTTTGTCAGCAAGTATGAAAGTAGGCTTAAGTATCATCAACTGAGGCATGCAGACCCTACAAAGGTGCAAATGCACAAGTGTAATTTGTGCGATTTTGAAACCAAATACCGGAGCAGTCTTAAGTCCCATCTATCAAAACATGCAGATTCTGTTTGACAGACCTCTGGATGAGATAGTTCGAAGTCAGAGTTTTCTCACTTAAAAATTGTCAAGCCTATAACTTATATAAGTTTTAACATATTGCAAGAATCTATTTATATCAAGGCCTTCTAAGTTAACTATTTAATTTAAAAATTAGTGAGATAACCTATAAAGGATATGTCACATCTTAAATGTCATTGAGAATAACATGACACTGTATAAAAAAATATTTATTTTGAGTACAAATGCCCAAATAGATAAATTCCAATTATAGGACAAGAAAATACATAAATTTAAATTGAAATTAGTAGTAGTAGTATAATTAGCTCTGCGAGCCAAGAAGGCTCATGGCTTGGTTACACATTTTTTCCCTTCCTTTTTGTTTTCTACTTTTCTCCTCCTGTCCCCTATTCCCATTTCATCCAAATCCCTCTCCACCGCTTGTAGCCATTTAATCCAAGGTCTGCCCCTTCTCCCCATTATACCGCCTGTCAGTACTTCTCTTGTTGGTCTCTCTCCTTCCAGCCTTTGTCGTGTCCCAGCTACCTCAATCTTTGTACTCTAGCCGCATTTGTTATTAATGGCTCCCTGTATATTGTCATCAATTCCTCGTTTGTTCTTCTCAGCCATAACTCTCCTTTGTTTCCTCCATATATTTTTCTCAATACTTTTCTCTTAAATATTTCCAGAGTATTTTTCATTTGTATTCAATTTTCATGCTTCGCTTTCATAAACAACTATCGGTCATATATATTCTTTTCTTGACATTTTTTTATGTATTTTTTGATCTTAACAACTGATGCAGCCCTCCCAAAAATTTTGTTCCTTTTGCAATCCTTTCATGTATTTCATCTTTTTCTTCTCTATTATCAGTTATTGCCACTCCCAGATAATTAAATTTTGTCACTTATACTATACTTTTCTTATACCTTAAAATAGGCTATAAAGAGCTTTAATTTGATATATAAATTGATGGATTTTTTGTTCTACACAGGGTGTTTAAAATTGGACGTGATAACATTGTTAACTAGGAAACTGTTAGAGATAGTTGAGATGGTTGAATTGTAACACAATTGCGTAATGAAAAATCGAAAATATCTTAGTTGGTTCTTGAGATTTTTTGAAAAATTCGAAATTGTGAAAAACCTTCCATAATTGGCAGAAAAGTAACAAACAACAAAATCGAAAGGAGACTTATTTTTAATTTACAATAGGACAAAAGTTACAATAAGATGTATTGCAACTGTTTAATATTTTGCAATTTTTGATTTCTCTTCAAAAATATTATCGTATCCATTTTAAACAACCTGCATAGTAACAGATTCTATCCACCCTTATCTCAAATTAATTACAGTAATACAGTAACTAAGAAAAAACTGCCCGAAATAAAAACAGCCGCTATTTTGTTATTATTTGTTTTTAAAAATTAAGCGGGAAACACAGACTCGATGAGTTTTAAGTGGCAGACCCTGTATTTTCACCGTAATAGTTACTGCAACTCCAGAAATTGTTCTGAATTCTGTAAAAAACATTGCATTAAAGAAATTTGTATGTGATGAAGGTTTTGCATATCTAATTCACCCATATGTAAATCAGATTAACCTTGTTGAGACTAAAAGATAGGTGCAATATTTGCAAAACTATTCTCAATGCAAATAATCATGCATATTTACCCCTAAATGATGAGCCCAGCACTTTATATCATATATCTTATAAAAGACAGTCATCATAAGATATCCTTTGTGAATGGTGTGAGTTTGCACTTTATTTTTATTCAACAGAGACATTTTCATATTGAAATAGATGGTGAAAGATTATTGGTTGTTTTAAGTTGGTACAGTTTTGTAATATAAACCTTATTTTTGTAGTCACAACATCAGGGTGAATTTGATGTACAAAAAATTCAATTTAAAAAAAAATAAATATGAATGCAGAACCTAAATATATTTCATATTACTCGAGATAGACCTAAAAATATAAACATTTGTATTTATCATTTTTTGTTTTTCTAAAAAAAAGTGATGACTACATACAAATATGTCAAATGTAAATATGAAAAACTAAATTATGATACTGTTTGATAGAGCTACAATATGAGTCAACAATTTGTATTATTTTTATTAAAAATTCCTTTGAAAAATAATTATATAATGAATTTCTTTTGATAACTTTTCATTCTACAAATTATGGTCACCTCTCTCGAAATAACATTATGTTATTACCCATATCTTTGCTTGTAGTAATTTTTTTAATAATAACTTTCTTCAGTGACAAACGGTGAAACATATTTAATTTACCTTATTATGTGCTTTACAGATGGGATGTAATTACTTAAGGTAAATGGTGAAGTATGTTGTCACATACCAGGTACGTTACTCTGCCATTAAAATTTAAGATGTAATCTGATCCTAAGTAAATAAATATAAGATTTTTTTCTATGTACACCTCTACATCTATGTACTATTTATTTGTTATTACCTTAAAACAAAAAATATTTGGGAAATAAAGTTTACCATTAGAATTCGTAAAAATTCAAAATAATGTTAAGGTGAGTAAATAACTACATTTTTACGGAAAGGTTATTATAAAATGCAAATTTCCACACCGCTCCTTGTGAGGTACCGCTCTTTGGTAGTGCGTTACTTTTGTTGATTTGGTGTTCGCCACGAGCCCTGTCATCTGACAAAACCTGAAATTTAATTGTTTTAAAAAGCATGCTTTGTATCTACTATACCTTAATACAAGTAGGCATCTAGTAGCAACGACACTTAAGATATGGTTACTGAAGGTTATATTTCACTCGTACTCAACATGGTGGTAAACAGATGTTCCAAATTAATTAAATATTTCATATATCGTCTCACTTGGGGCATACTCTGATGAGAACTAATAAGTTCGAAATCAGTGCATGTCTGGTGATTTTGGCGATAATGATCTTCACTGCTTATTATTGGAGTGTAATTCAATGCTCGACGAGGCACATCGCTTAGCTTGCCGACCAGATGTCCACAATATCAGTAATTAAAACTTTTTCAATTAAACTAATTACAAATTTCTTATTGTATCGAATTTCTTTTATTTAGCACAATTTAATATAGGTATACAATAACAAACATCGACCTAAACCTGCCCGCTAACCTTTTCTGTTTCAGAGACAGCCAGGATCAAGAAACGAAGACAACGACACACACATACACACCCCCCATACCCTCCTTAACCCTCCCCTCCCGCGCTAGCCTAAGGGCCACCTTAGCAAAGCGCATCCCAGGCTGCATAGCCGCACTACCCTACCCAACCATACCACACATAAACATGACACTACCCCCGGGGTTTACACAGACGAGCCGGCGCAGCAAGAAGAGCGCCAGAAGAAAGGGCCCTAGCCGGCGGGGCCCAGCCAGGACAAAAGGAGGTCCCACAAAGCGCCTACACCGGCCGCATTTGCGGTCGGGGTAGACGACGGATGGGGCCCACCTACGAAGGCTGTCCAGGCCTACACGAGATGAGGCAGGATAAAGAGGGATAATCCCCCTCGATCCCAAATCATTGAGGCCAATTTCTAGCCATAGAATAATGGCGCGCGGCGCGACCTAAACCTTCAAAAAAAAATCCTATATGGCTTCAGTTCAATAAAATCATCTCACAGATATGATAATTCATTATTGCTCCATCGTAGTGTAAATCTTAATTAATTAAATCTCGCTTGAAATTACTTTAGATCTAGCAGCTCGTATCAATGCATGAAATATACCCCCACCTCTTCGCCATATTTACGCACCGAATTGTCGATCCCTAAATGCACTTTGCTAACATTTTATTTTCTAGTACTACTCGTTTCTTCAGAAATTCGAAAACATCCAACAGTCCATATTCAGAAGCTAACTCACAAACTTCTAAGTTTTTATATTAGAAGTCTGTGAGCTAACTGCAGTGCCGTACGGCTTTTATTCCCTATTCGATCACATGAAAAAAAATATATAGATACATAGGTGTATTCCAGAGATATCTCTGGTGTATTCGTTCAACTTTCATACGACCCATCATGACCCATGCTATGCTATGGCACGCGTACCACGGTACGGGACATGGGACGGCTATCGTGTGGAATGACTCTAAGAGATGTTATATTTGGGAAAAAACTTGTAGTTGAGTTAACGAAGTCAACCTTTTCTAAGCTGTGTTATTTTAGCAAGGGTCCATATGCACGTGTCNCCTGCAATCCTTTTTTTCTTGTATGTCGGTGCGGTGATATTCGATTGTCTCATCTATCCTCTCGGCCGTCTTATCTCGAGATGTTGTAGCTCGTTAGAACGTTGGAACAATCGAAACATCTGCGCACTCGCTCGAGTAGCGCAGGTGTTAGTAACGCTGTGGCCACTGTCAATACTGTCATTCGTATCCGAGAATAATCGAATGATTCTATATGACCACTCGAGATATCTCGAGAGATTTTCATAATCGATATAATCGATAATTTTCATTCGAGTAGTCCCATCACTACTTTATTTGTTATTTATTTGTAATTGTAAATGACATTTGCGCTGTGGAAGTGTGGATTGACTGGATTGTAGAATGTAGATGACATGTTTTGTGTAAAATATGGCAGATACATCAAAAGCTCAAAAGTTAAAATTGGCTAACTCTCGAAAAAGGGTAACTTGTACTTTTCGTACTCATCTATTGTATTATTGACTCAATTTGCTGTCCTGTCGTAATTAAGTGTGTAACACTTATTAAGTTATTAATACCTATTGAAATGCAATGCCACATCAAGAGTAAAGTATACAAGTATATAACAATATTTATGTTTTTTGTTTTTAGTTTAAGGAACTGCAAGAATTAAAGAAAAAGAAAAATCAAAATGTTGAAGATCTGCAGAAGGTTATTAAGAACCCAACTCCTATTGATAGTATGACAAGCTCAAGTCACAGCTCTATTAATAATGAGATATCTGAGTACATAGAGAATATGTCACATTTACCTAATGCTGGTAATACTTCCAATGAAGGTTCTCAACCACCTGCAGCTTTATTTTTTGATAACTTTGTACAAAAAGAGTATAGCTATAGAGACTTTCCCGCTGAAGATGCAGCCAATAGTATGTCAAATTATTTTAATACAATAACCCAAGGTAATCTTGAAGACATGACTTCGAACGTTACAGATAATTCTGTAACTTCATTTCAAAATGTTTCTGAAATCCAGGATCAAGAAAATTATTCTTTATTCCCTGAAGATTCGGTAAATAATTATTTGGGTGAAAAACAATTAATTCATGAACGTGACAACCCACTTGATTTTCAAATGAACCAAGAAAATGAGAGTGATAATTTTGCTCCTAATGCAGATATAATACGAAAAAGTGAATCAGAAGACACTTCTGAGTCCGAAATCACTGGTACTTCAAATCGAACACAGTTAGAGATTCAACATTCTAATGTAGAAAGTCTAAAACAGTTATCCAACCAAATGGCAGAACTCATAGAACCTCAATTCTGTCCAAATTCAACTAATTATGACCATTCAATAACAGATTTGGAAAAGAGAAATTTAGAATTGGCTACGATGTTAGATCAAGAAAAAGTAAAAACAGAAAAAAGTACTATTTTAATAAATGACTTGCAGAGTAAAAATATATATTTAGAAAATTTACTTAAAGAAAAAACTGAAACTTCAAACTTTCAATCAAATCGTGAAATAAATAAGTTGGAAGAAGAATTGCAGTCACATCTTCAAACAATAGGTATGCTAGTTGCAGAAAAAACTGAATTATCCGTAAGCTTAAACAAATTTGAAACTTGTTCTAAACAAAAAGCTGCCGAGTGTGAAGAACTTCAAGCAAGACTTAAAGCTTCAAGGTCAAGAGTTGCAGAATTAGAAAAAGAAGTATCTAGTTTAAAGTTGGAAAAATGTCAGAATGAAAATATTTTACAAGATAATAATGCATTAATAAACACCCTAAAGCAAGATTATCAAATTCTTAAGGAGCAAAAAGATGAACTTGTGCAAGATGTGTTGGAGACAAGAGAAAAGTTAAAAAACTCTTTAGAGGAAAATTTGAAACTTCAACAATTAAATCAAGAACTTAATAGTAAATTTGCTTTAGCCAGTATTAAATTGCAACAAATAACTAATAATGACCGGCAACAAACTGAAAGTGGTTTAGACAAAATCACTGAGGAAAAGTTTCAATTAGAGAAACAGGTAGCAGATCTAAATCAGCTGTTAAAAACGATGACTACGGAACGTGATGATTCTGTATTGCAATACCAACAGTATGCTCAGCAACAAAATATACAATTAAGTAATCTAACTAAAAATTTGGAACAATTACAATTAGAAAATGAAAACTTAACTCTGCAAGAGCAAAATCGTATTAAACATATAAGTGAATTAGAAAAACAACTACAAAATTTACAAATTGAACAAGTAGCACTTGCTACTGATAAACCTACTAATGATTCTGACTCAAAAATTAATCTTGAAAATGTAAGAGAGCTTTGTGTTCAACTGCAAATGGAAAAAATAGCTTTAGAAGAAAATTATACCAAAGTTAGTAATGAAAAAGATATGTTATTAAAAGAATTGGAAGCTAAAAATGATTCACTGTCTCAACTGGAAGGTTTGGTAGAGCAACTTCAAGGAAATCAACCCGATAGTGTAAAGCTTTTAGCAACTATGGAAAGTGATAAAATTGCAGCAGCCAGAGCAGTTCAACAGAATAAGGAATTAAAACAACACATTGAGAGTCTAGAAGAAGTATTTCTAAAACTGGTAAGATGGTGTACCTGTGTATATCTTTACAATTTTTTGTGAAAATTGAAATTCAGTAGTACCTTAAGAAAAATTTAACCACATTAGATCATACTGGATAGAAGAAAAACTCAATATCCATCTGTTTTTCTTTCATATATTATTTTTTTTACCATTCGAATGTAATTTATATAAATTGGCTTCCTATGATATATAACGTGATGTTTTTAAAAAATTGTAATTATAAGAAATGTTAAAATTTTTTAAGAGGGTCATTGACAATTCATAGTAAATTATGTTAACTTTAAATACCAAACTCTAGAGAAATTCGTAAATATAAATGAGCTTTTTAAAAATATTTGATTAATTAAACTGTCTAATTTTTATTTCCTTTTGTTTGGATATTTGCAACCGGTGAAAAAAATATTTGCGAAAGGATTGATACAGGATTGTTTTCATCACTCTGATAAATTAGAGAACATTAGAGAATAAGTTGTAATGAGGAAGTGACATTTTTTATTTAATTAGGTTTTCTGCCACATTTAGAAGAAAAATAAATTTTAAGTAAGCTCTTTTTGTTTGTTTTTTTTTTCTTTATTTTTTGGATATTTTGCCACCTGTGACAAAATTTAAAAAAAAATAGTTAAATAAACCCTGAATCAGTCAAGGATTATTTTTATGAAAATAGTTTTGCCTAACCAAAAAATCTCACTGAAAAAAGCAGACAAATAGAAAATACAAAAAGCATCACTTAATATCAGGCACTTTACAAAACAAATTTTTTCACAAGTAGCAAATTACCTAAAAAATAAATAAAAAAACAAAAACTGTAACAAATATATAACTTCAGATGATTCATTTTTAGCAAGACTATCAATGATATACAGGGTGTCCGCAAATTTCGCCGACAACGTTTGACGATAAATAAATACGATCTACAAAAAAAAATTATATAAAAACTTTTGGGTTTTTGAGTTACAGGCCTTCAGTTGTCAAGTTGTCAAAAATAAAACTAATTTAATTAATAACTCTTTTACCGATCGCATTAAAATTTAGACTATTATGGCATATTATTTCCTAAAGCTTTAGTCAAATCGATATACTGGGTGATAGCTTTCTCCGGTTACAAGATGCTGATTACTGTGGCTATCAGGTAATATCATTGTTGTGGTCGTCACCAGATAATTTTTGGAGGGTCAAAATTGAAGAAACTATATTAGCAATTTTTTTATAAAAAATCTAAGTATGCCAGTGAATTAAGCGCCCGTTAAATTGGAATGTACCAAATTTCATAAAAAATATTGCATACTAATAATTCTGTGGCAAAATTAAAAATTACTTTATGATTTTTTTTCGTCTGACGAAGCAAGCCAAGGAAAAAAACGCCCTCTTATTGAATGGCCGCCTAGATCACCTGACTTGACGCCACTCAGCTTTTTCCTTTGGGGCATCCTTAAACAAAAAGTGTATAAGTTAAGACCACAGTCGGTAAAAGAATTACGCGCTAGAATAATTGAAGCATGTGCAAATGTCACCCCAGAACAACTGAGAAAAGTAACCACGAACATAGGAAAAAGGTATGATAAGTGCCTTGAATTAAACGACGGATTAGTGGAGGTAACAAGAATTTAATTAATAATTCTTCTGTTCTGAAACTTCAATAATTTTGTTGAATTATTACTCTTGCAAAACTGGCATTAGCGATAAATCTTTGGCGGGTAGTCTTATTGTTTCTTGGTATTGTCTATGTCCTAAATACCAAATAACTGTCATGACGTGCGCATAACATCCTACCGTTCTAAGTACATTCTTACATTGACAACAGTAGCCACGAGTGGCTTCTGGACCTGTCTTGTCTAAATCTATGAGAATATACAGAAAATATAATTCTACCTGCGGGAGTCGCTCTTCCCTTATAATATGCACGTTCTGTTTTTCCTCTCCATTGGCTCAATTTACAGCAAAACAGAGGTCATATTTTTATTAAGAATATCGAAAAACGTAGGACAGTACATTTTTTTAAGATTGATGTATTATGCCCAAAATTGGCACCCTTTATGAAGTTTTGGTCAATAAATATAGGAATCATTGGTTGAAAATGCTCAAGAACCAGTTACTGATACTGTTGATTTATAACTGGTAACTAGTAGTGTTTAAAGTTATGAAAATTTTAAGTCATTCCTGAAATTATGAAAATAATGTAAGTAGAATTTGTTATTTACCGGTTACAATCATCAATAATTTTGTATCTTCAGACATTTTCTAATCCTACATTTTTAAACTAAAACAGAAACTTCATAAATTCAGAAAAAATATTCTGCATAAATTGATGAAATTTGAAATAGTAAAAAACTGCAGCAGGCCACACAAATTGTCCCAAAAAATTTTTTGTAGGGTGTCCTTGTTGATGGATACTACTGAGTGGCATGTAATTAATGCAATACATCAGACTTATTTTGATAAATGACAAAATGTTCAGAAGCAAGTTTTTTACTTTGCTTTATTACAGAGTTCGAACTATTACAGATAGTTGCCTCACTCTGTATCTTCAAATATTTAATATTTTCAAACTAGTAATTTGTCTTTCTTTCTTTCAGAATAATGACAAAGTTGAACTAACAGAACAAGTGAATAGAGAAATTAGAAACAATAAAGAATTACTTCAAAAATTGCAGAAAACTGAAATACATCTTCAACGCTTAGCAGAAGCAGTTGAGATAAAAGACCGTGAATTGTTAGATTTGAGACAGGACATGATTAAATTTAAAAAACAACTTTTGCAGAATGAACAAGTAAATGATCTATTAAGACACTATGAAGTCCAAGACAATAGCAGCCATACACTTCAAAATGAATTAAAAGAGGCAAAGGAAACAATTGAGAAACTTACAAATGAAATTAATATCTTAAAGCATTGCTTAAATGAACATGGAAACAATGGTGTAATTGAAAGTAGACATGACTCCGATTTAGATAAAGAAAAACCAGAATTTGTAAATAACGAGAACATTAATATACAAAGTATTGCAGATTTGAATGGTAAAAATAATGATTTGCAAATAAAAGAAATTTCTAACGACAATGAAACATTAGATAGAGAAATTGCTATCAAATATTTAGAGGACAAATTTAAACGCACTATGCAAGATATTGTTGAATTAAAAGAAGAAAAGCAAAGCCTTGAACATCTTGTTTTACAACTTCAGGGTGAAACAGAAACAATAGGAGAATATGTAGCTTTATACCACCATCAAAGAATGATATTGAAACAGAGGGCCCTAGAAAAAGATCAACAATTAAAGCAAATAACAAATGACAGAGAATACTTAAAAACTAAACTTCAAAATCTGGATAGTCTTATTAGGAAACTTGTTAACAAGAATACTGCTGCAAAGCCACCTTCCCCACAAAGTGACATAAATGATCAGTTAGGCATAAGTGAATATGAGCATCCCTCTGAAAAACATTCCGAGATGCACGAAGAAATAAGTAAAATAGATGAAGAAATTGTGATTCAGAGTAATGACCAGACTTCAAAAATTGCTGATAAAATTATCGATCTTTTAGCAGAAATAAAATCTAGTAACTTGGTTCAACCTAAAGAAAATGTTCACCACTGTGCGTGGTGTTCAGGACAACTTATTACTGTATAAATATATTTTTATATTACATAAATTTTAGTGTTAAATAATTTTTTAATTTGTGTAAATATATGTATTGTTAGCAAAACAAAAAAACAATTTAAGCATGGTTGTAATTTAAGCTTTTTCAAACCATGTGGAGTTATAATAATATAATAAATTTTATGTTTATAATAATTTAACATTACTTACCAAACGGCTTAAATTGGCAGTAGTATGGTCTAATATGGAAGGGTGTTACACAATAAAATTTTGTATAGATTAAGAGGTTTTACTGAAATTTTGCATAAATTATGTCATTTAAACAGTGTATTGAAGAGCCAATAATAATAATTCTACAGCTTGGTCCAATTTTATCTTTTCTGCGAAACTAAAATTGGAGCTCATTCTCTGTCTGAACATCGAATGATGAATATTGGTATGCATACCAATAAGGCTCTTGTTTCCGTCACTCCTATTGTGGACTCTTGATTAGCACATCTCACAGACAAGATGAGTTTGGTCAAGCTGTACCTCTCATTCTACTCACAAAATTCCATCCAATTCGGTTCGATAGTTTTTACATAATAATTAATTGTTTGAATCTTTTTTTAATTAAAAAATTTTCAAAATCAAATTTTTAAAAATCTAAAACCTTTGAATACTTGAAAATTTCACCATAAAAAGAAGAGTTCTCAAGCTTTAACATGATTTTTATATATATCCTTATAATTTTGCTGTAAATAACAGGCTATAACTCCAAAAATAATGGGCGGATCAGCAGGTTTTTTTTTAAATATTCGTCTTTACGAGTACTTTCAAACCATATTTTAAAATAAAAAAAAATTGAAAAAAACATTCAATTATTGCAATTGTTTATAATCGTGAAAATTGCGATAATGATTAAATAATCACCACGGCTCGTCTAATCGTCCGATTTGAATTTTTCAAAAACCATTTTAAAGCTTGAGGACTCTTCTTTTTGTGGTGAAATTTTCAAGTATTCAAAGGCTTTAGATTTTTAAAAATTTGATTTTGAAAATTTTTTAATTAAAAAAAAATGTTTTTTTAAACAATTATGTAAAAACTATCGAACCGAATTGGATGAAATTAGTGAAAATAGTGTGATGATTCTATGCAGTAAGAAGTTTCATTGGGAAAAGTATGAAGATTCTAGGTATTATTCAATTGTCTGAAAAAAATTGACAAATAAACGCATTTTTTGCAATTTTTTTAAATGATTATACCGATTTTTGCAATAACAATATTTATTTTTTCGAATTGCAACTAACTCTATCTTGATCAAAATTTAATTACAAAACTTTTTCCTCATCCATTTTTGTCTAAAACGAATAGTTGCTAAGTTGTCGACGAAAAATCCAAGAAAAAAATGAATTTTTTTTGCAATTTTTTTATACTTTTTTGTAATAACAATTAAACCCACGTTTTTTTTATTTGCATAGAAAAATTATCATTCTTGATGTTATTTGGAAGCCGTTAAAGCAAAAATTTCCGATCATATGCGTTTTACTCAACCCGAAACAGATACCGTCTGGACTACACATACAGTTTGCACGCTCGGTAAGTGGTACATTTGACCCCGTTTTAAACGCCCCTACCCCAACTAGGCTATCAGCAACTTTCATTTTCGTACTCCCCAGAAGGTCTAGAATATATATTATGAGTTGCTGACATTAATCTGATCACGGGCGATTTTCGTATTTACCCCTGCACCCCCAACCCCTGCCCCATAAGGGGTGTCAGCAAACTCTCAAACCCTGTTATACAACATACGACCAACACATTAAAAACAAAATTGGCCATTAATCCGATCACGGGAGATTTTGACACCAATCTCTCCGTCTATTATGTTACACCGACGCTTCAAAATTGTGAAAGAACTCCGCACAAAACATGGAAATCAACACCAGTCAATTTTTATTAAACTTCATATTTTGATAGTCTTCGTCATGCTGATCAAAAGTCTCAATGAGCATGAATCGCTACAACCCTTTCCAATCCCTCAAAACCACCCCTAAAAATCAAGGTAATGAACTTGACAGATTACGGGTCAATTGGCTTACCGTAATATTTCACTACTGTAGTCGAACCTACAGACACCTATACCATAACTAGGCTTAAGACTATCAATGGGCACCGAGCCCTACAACCACCCCCAAAGGTCAGGGGGATGCACTTGACAGATTATCGATCAATAAAGCTACTGAAATTTACTATTGCAGTCACCCAAACTGTAACTAAGCTAAAGACTACTATTTCCAAAATACTTAACCCCCCATCCCTGTCCCTCCCCACCAACTACCAAAGCCTGTTATGTGACTTTTCCCTGCTTACTGGTTGTGTAACTGTTTAATTGTAAGTTCCATCTCACAGCCACCTGCTTATGGCTTATAAAACCGTTCAATCTTGAATTCCATCCTACACCCATCTTATTGTTTAATACCCTTTAGCCCACAAAAAGTACCAAACCCTGCCATAAGATTTTTTACTGTTTGTGGGATGTGAAACCCTGGTTGTATCTGTGATGTTTTTTGGACGTAGGATTTTGTTGAATTAGTTCCAGAGTAATCAGGATTCAAAAAGCAACGTGTGTATTTATTTTTTAAAAGGAATATTTATCACTTATCTTCTACATCATGTACAGTTATTTTTAATTCATCACAGCGACATATGCCCTCCAAGCCAATTAGGTACAGAGGCGTCATAAATGATTACAAGCCACATGACCAGTTATTCTGTTTGGTACAGTAATTTTAATTCCTTCACGTTGGCAGTTCAATTTGGGTAAAATTAAAAATTATTAAAATAGTAAGATCAAAATTACATTAAAACACAATATTCTATTTTACTGACATGTAATTGGTGTAATTTTCCACGAGATTCTATTCAACGAATGAGCAATCACATTATCTCAAGCGTAGACGCAACGAGTCTGTCATTGTTCATAATAAACAAATCAATATTGATGATACTAAGATTTGGAGATTTTAAGTCGACAGTACCAGTCGTGCAATGTTGAGTTGTCTAAGATTGGCGGTCACGTGGCTTGTAATCATTTATAAAGGCTCTGTACTAGTATAACCTATAAAGAATTAAATTGTCAAAATTTTATAGTAAGATAGTCTGATTCAAGAATTCTCTAGTTTACTTTTTCCCTACTAAAAAGTCTGAACTTCTTTGCTTTATTTATCAATATTCTTTTTGGTTATTAACATTGTTTTGAACATTGAATACAGACTCAATACATTTGATGATATAAGCAAACCCAACCGAATTTCGGCTTATTCCACCGTCCACACCTACAATTGAGAATTTGAACTGTCGGTATTTCTGAGAGTCGTGTGGTTACTGCTGTTTTTGTATAGTTTGGGTGTAGGTTGGAATTAAACTATAATAATAATTGTCTACACATGGGCGTAGCTAGAATTTTTGTTTAGGGTGGGCCAAAAAAAAGTTCAAAAACCTGGACACAGTTTGATTTGATTCTAAAAAAAGATCACGCAGACAGCGACTACCGATTTTCCCACCTGGAAAATATCTGAATTAAAAAAAACACATGAGACATGTCAATTTTCTCTTCAAGGGGGACACATAAGGTATAAATTTTGATGTCCTGGAAGCTTCCCCTTGGGCAGGGACGTAAAATACCCTTAAACTTTAAATGGCGCCCTATGTTGAGTGACATCTCATTTTAAAGCTTTTTCAATTCTGCTCACGATGATATACGACTTTTTAAATTTTGATTTGGATATGACAATAAAATCATCTCTTAAAAAATAAGATAAAATATCAATGAATGAAAGAATGTTATTTTTTTAACACGTTAACGGCCAACAGCTTCTTGGTATATTTGTTCACCGAGCCAATTTTTTTTTTCGTTTTTTTAAGGTGATTTTGATTTGAAATATTAAAAAATTTCGTACAAACTAGTTTTAGTTGGTTTTTATAGCTAAATTGTAGAAGATATGACGTCGGTCCCAAGGGACCGTTGCAGCCCAGTAAGAACATTTGTATCGCCAAACCAGAGCGGTCCTGATCGGCTCGTCCAATTTGGTACTACGGAAGTCAATAAAATGATATCGAAAAGTTGTTATAGAAGTTCTTTTCGGTACCTCTATGGTCAATGCGCACTATTTATATAAAAAAATCAATGAAACTAATACGACAATAACAGTTTTGGAAAAGTGCGTACGAGAAAATGATTTTTCCAGAGCTACAGGACAATATGGAATTGAATGAAGAGGAAGAAAATCATGTTCCTAAAAAGCAACTCAGAAAGCGTGAACATCATTTAGAGAAAAAAGAAGGTCCTTCTCACAAAACCCGAAAATACTGCAAATGATGTTACCAGAAAAAAGCAAATGGTGAAATACATAAGAACAATGTGAAGAAAGTGTCTACGTACTGCGCTGATTGCTATGATCAGCCTCATTATTGCCTAGAGTGTTTCAACGTGTTGCATGAATAAGATTAATTATAAGTGTTACTCACATTTTTTTTTTTTTTTCAAGAAATGAAATACATACCTATATGTATATAAATGTACATTTTACTCTTAGTATTATAATAAAAAGTTGTTATTTTACTTTGCATCATAGACAGTGTTTAAACTGTCATACGCTGTTATTTTACTTACAAAAAAGGGGTTTCCGTGAATTAGGCTATAAAAAATTTTCCATTTTTTTTCGAAATTACTATGTCACCTATTTTATTAGGCCGAGCGGTCCCATATATACGGTAAAACGTACAGCATAAGCGGTCCACTGGCCCAGCGATAAAGAAAACGAACTTTATTACCGGTGGTCCATATGGACCTCCACGACCCAGCAGTCAAGGGCGGTATCGGTCCCTAAGGACTGCTCCAGCCGCTAACGTGTTAATAAGTGTTCAAATTGGTTTCCCTCTGCTTCAATACAATAATAAAATCTTTGCCCCACTTACAAACGAACATTTTGAAGCATTTCGGGCGTATTTGACGACATTCTTCAACAATTTTTCGATACACACAGCATCCGAGGAAATTGAATGTTTGGGAGACCGCCTTATAGGACCTTTCTTTCTACCGAGAAATTTGGATGGAAACATGTATTTGAATCTATTGGAAACGAATATCTACCCGATTATTGTGGAAGTATTGGAAAATGACAACGCTTTGCCAGAAGAGAATGTGTGGTTTCAGCAAGATGGTGCACCACCACATTATGCCATAACTGTGCGTGATTTTCTTAATCAACACTTTCCAAATCACTGGATAGGAGGCAGAGGTTCAATTGAGTGGCCTCCCAGATCGTCAGCCCTTAGACTTTTTTCTGTGGAGACACTTAGTTGAAAATTTATACAACACAACCGAATTCACTTGAGGAGCTTTGTCAGCAAATTATTGAAGAATGTCGTCAGATAACAATCGATATGCTTTGAAATGTTTGTTCGGAATGGACCAAAGACTTTATTATTGTGTGGAAGCGGAGGAAAACCAATTTAAACACTTTCATTGATATTTTGTCAATGTGATGATTATATTGTCATATCTGTCGTGAGTAGAATTGAAAAAGCTTTAAAATGAGGGTGCCATTTCAAGTTTAAGGATATTTTACACCCCTTCCTAAGGGGTAGCTTCCAAGACACCAAAACTTACGCCCTTGAAAAGAAAATAGATGTCTCAAGTTTTTTTTTAATTCCGATATTTTCCAGGTGGGAAGTTTTAATTGAAACACTGTGTATATCACACTTCTTAGATAGATACTCTTAATATGCAGTTTATAAGATTGTGTAAGACTGTTTTATAAGTTTATATATTTTATTCATATATATATATATATATACACTTTTCTTTTGAAATTATCTGGTATGATAAATCTTTGCAACAAATTGTCTTTATTTATGATGCTAGAACAATCGGCAGTAACAATGTTAAAGATAGATTTTTACAGGTTCCAATTTCTTAATTTTCACTTTGTAACATATTAGGCAAAAATCATTTCATCTCTTCTCCTTTTTGGTAAATTTGGTTTAATTTGGCATTCCGGATGATTCATCAATTCTGGTGGACAATTTGAAACAGGTGAAGAAAGAAGCATTTGCTTAAGATCATAGAAAAGAGCTGAATCATCATTTGTACAAAAACTAACAGCAATACCAGTTTTTCCTGCACGTCCTGTCCTACCAATACGATGAGTATAATCTGAAAATAAAATATGTATTAACGGCTGGTCTGAATACAATGTGACCAAACTAAATTAGTTGATATTACTTCAAAAAAAGATTAAAAAAAGCTCCTATATCAGTGGCATTAATACTACAAATATGACTGCCGATGTATTGAATAATTGAAAATCTTAAAGTTAAGTTTTACTTAATTTATTAACGTACTGTATCGAAACAAACATAAACTGAATTTAGTACACTACATCTTTATCGTAGCAATAGCCCAGAAATCTAGTGATTTTCGTTACTTTGTGTTATCTCTCAGTTCTTTTTTTTTCGTCATAAGATATGTGGACCATAAAAAAGTAAACATTACTGATTTTGAATGAATTCTAACTGATCCCCTCTATTAACAATAATACCTGCAAGTAAGTTTGTTTTGTAATACAAAAACTTGTATAAAAAATTAAAGAATAAACTCATTCATAGTGTAGAAATGGTTAAACAATGTATAATGCAGAGGCGGCTCGTCGGGGTGGAATCAGAAGAATAAACAAAAGTTTGTGTATATATTTTTTTGTAAATATGGAAGTGATGTAAATTGTAAATTATTTTTAGGACTTTTAAATTCAATACAAATATCTGTGAAACTCCCGCTACCAAATTTTAAAATTATAATTTAATCATGATCTCAGCAGCAACCAACATTACATTCGGGCTGGCCCGTAGCTGCTGACCTAAACGACGCCGTCCCTTGCCTGCTTATACGTATCTATGACTAGAGAGTAATCGGAAACGTAAGTGGTTTACCAATTCAGAATATTTGCGTCATGCCAGGCAAGCTCGAATATGCCCGTCGAGTGCTGAATCGGCTAAGGCCAGCTAAGGCTTTTCGCCAGCGATTAGAATTACATATATGTATATTTATTCGCTGTAATTTTGTCCTTCAAATGAATTTTTAAACATTATAACAATTTTTCCCTGCAAAGGTATTCCAGAAAACAAATTTTAGTAAAGGAAGTAATAAACCGTGTTATAATAATTTGTAAATCGCGTTAAAAAATAAATATGGTGCTTTGTTTAATGTTCTTTGACAATTATAATTATTAAGGTTATTTTAACTCGTTACTATTAAACTGAATTAAGAGTGATTGCGGAGAAATTTTCAATATTTTAATAGATACGAGTTTGTAAATATGAAAGTGAATTATTTTTAGAACTTTTAAATTCTATTTATTTTTTGTTTCAAATAATAAAGAAACTGTTAGATTTAAAAAAAAACTTTAGCTTCTATGTAATATATTTATTGAATTTCAATCAGATTTTTAATAAATTATCATTGGAGTATAAGTATGTATACATACATACATAAAATATCCCTGCGCCACCGGGGACCGGGTACTGGGCATGCCCTTCGACTTCACTAGTATATTCCTCGGGTATTTACGTGTAATCTGCAGTTGTTAGTTATATTCCTTTGTGGTTCATTTATCATTTATGACTTGGTTGTAAGTTCTAGGTTAGGGTTAGTAAGAGTCGTTTAGGTAAGTTTTTATTCTTTAATAATTTATAGCAAAGCAAAATGGCAAACGAAATTCGCGAATTGGTGAGTAGCAACGGTGATATTGTTAATTTTTTATTAGATAAAAAATTTTGCACGCTAACTTTCGATGATAAATTATTTATTTCAAAATTAAAACCTACGCCTGACATGAAAAATTTAATAAATAAAAACAATTGCGGAAGTAACAGATCATTTAGTAAAAATTGGTACAATAAATATGAGTGGTTAACAGGTAGTGAAATTAGAAACAAATTATATTGTTGGAATTGCTTACAGTTTAATGAAAATGGTAAAACTCCGTAGAATTATCTAGGATATTCAGATCTTAAACATATAAATGAATCCCTAAAAAAACACGAGCGATCAGAGGATATTCATCATTAAAATTTAAATTATTAGGAAAACAAAACATTCAAACTTTATTTGATTCTGCATTTCGTGAGAATATTTTAAAACATAATAAAGTCGTGGACGAAAATAGAGACATTATAAAATGCCTTATTGATATGGTTATTTACTTAGCTACACAAGAACAAGCTTTAAGGGGGCATAATGAATCAGATAATTCAATTAATCAAGGCAATTTTCGTGAGCTTGCGAACTTACTTTCAAGGTACGATAATAAATTTAGTGTTTTTAGAAAAAAGTTCAGTTTTTAGTGGCCTTTCGAAAACTATTCAAAATGATTTAATAGAGAGCATCAATTCAGTAGCATCCGAAGTCATATTTTCAGAAATAAGAAGTTCTCCATATTTCACCTGGCAAGTAGATGAAACAACGGATGTTAAATGCTTATCTCAATTATCAGTAGTTTTTAGATACGTTCATTGCGGTAAAGTAGTTGAAAGATTTATGGGATTTTTTGATGTAAGCAAGGGAAAAAAAGCTGAGGATCTTTTTCATTTGTTGACAGAAAATTTTAAAAATTTCGATATAGAAAATAAATTAGTAGGGCAGACGTATGATGGTGCTTCTGTAATGTCAGGCGAATTAAACGGTTTGCAAAGAAAAATTAAAAATGTTGCACCTCAAGCCTTATTTATACATAGCTATGCGCATAGATTAAATTTAATATTACAGGACGCGGCAACAAAAATCAAAGTGTCGAATTTTTTTTGGAAATATTTCAGCAATATCAGCATTTTTTAGTTATTCTACAAAACGTACTAGTGTTTTAGATGAAGTAAGTGGTAGACGGTTACCGAGTGGATCAAATACGCGTTGGAATTTTAAGTCTCGTACGATTCAAACCATAATTAATAACAAAAATGATTTGATTGAAGTTTTTAACATAATGTTAAATAGCAATGAATTTGCAAATGATAAAGAAACTGTTCGAGAATCTGCAGGTTTCATAAAAATTTTAGAAAACTTTACTTTTTTGTTTCTGTTAAATACATTTAATCTTACATTTACAAAGACTGATATTGTTTTTAATATTGTACAAAAAAAAATTGCAGATGTTGCATACTGCAGAAATAGAATTCAAAATTTGTTAAAAAATTTGGAAAATTTTCGAAATGACCAGCACTGATGAAATTTTTGCCAATATATGTCAAGCTGTAGGACAACCTGCTAAGAGACGTAAAACTGATTATGACGAATTAAACGATTCTACTACTTACTTCAGAAGGCTTTACAATGAAATATTAGATGTAATATTAACTCAAATAGATATCAGATTTAAAGATTTTGAAAAACTGGAGTTTTTAGATTTAGCGAATAAAAACAAATTTTCTCAATTTAAGAATGCTTTTCCGGAGAAATCATTCCTGTCGTTAATAGACAATTATCCAAACTCATTCGATAAATTAAAATTACGCAGTGAATTACGCGTCTGGTATTCCGATCCGATTATTCTTGGAGAATCGTCAAATTTTGCAGAAATTTTAGAATTCATATTCCACAAATTTATAATTTATTGTTTAATTTTGTCACTTCCTGCAACCTCTGCATCCGTAGAAAGAAGTTTTTCAGCTTTAAGACGAATTAAAACATATTCTCGAAATTCTATAGCACAAAAACGGTTAAGTAATTTAAGCACAATTGCAATTGAATCAGAATTAGTCAAGTCACTTCAAAATTCCGAAGATTTTAAATTTCACAAAAAAGTAATTGATCATTTCACGACCACCAAAGATAGACGTATAGATTTAATATATAAACATGGAGCATAAAGAATCTAAATATTAAATATATGTACTTATATAACTTACAATTTATATGCATACTAACCCTACCTCTCATCCTCTTTAGAATATCTATTTATTTAGAATTATTTATTTATTTGTTTATCAGAATTCTGTTATAATTTATTGTTAGTAATTTCAGTAAGTGTTACTGCTATAAAACTGATAGAGAATTTTACTATTTGTTTAGAGAATTACATTATTTTTTATATGTCCTTTCCTTATATACCTTCATCCTTACCTCATCCCCTATCCCGGCAAGAGATCACTCTGACCTTCTCGTTGGTTCTTGCTGAACTATTATATTTTTGGAATAATATAATTTGCAAATTATTATACATACAATTATTAAGTTTGTTACACTTTCAAAAGTAAATAGACTAACTTAAGAGTGCAATTATTCCTATAAAATATTAAGTTGCACGAGAAAAAATATTTTGCCCACCTATCTCAAAAAACCACGAGCCGCCACTGGTACAATGTAATATAGGAAATCCATAAACTACAATTTCTAAAATATATCATCTTCAAATATGACATTCATTTCATTATCCATTTTTGTATTTCCCTTCTAAATAAAAAGTTTTAAAATAACACTCTTCATATTTCTGATTGCCCTCCTTCTGCATATTCTGTGCTGGCTTCGAAGCATGTCTTAAATTAAAGAACACCTTAAGTAGCTAAGCATCTGTTTTCATACCTAAGAAAAGCTAAGCGAACGGTGTACTGTTAAGTAATTCAGTACAAACAGGCATAAAGTATGTTGGTTGGTTGAGATACCATTATATTACAATCGGTCAATCACTTATTAAATCAATTATCTAAACCAATAATTTTGCTATTCCAACTGATGATAGATAAAGTATCTTTTCTGGACATACTAAATTTTCAAATGTGCTGTATCATCAATAAAAAACATATAAAAGATAACACTTAGACATAAAATCAAGAGACTTTAAAATCAACAAGTAATAAAAAATTCAACAATTGGCTTATATATACGACGTAGTGCGTAATTTAAAATAAATATAAAATACAAAATGTTTCTTTGCGTCTGTATTTATTTAACCCTTTCGCTGCGCAATACGTCTGAACGTAGCTACTGCGCCGTGCACGAAAGTTTATCGCGTGCGAACATATACGTCTGGAGCAGTTAGACCACTTATAGTTTTACATTATGTTGTGTTAAATTACGATTTACGATCAATTTTACGATTTTATTTTAAATAAACATATCGACAGTATATTGACAGATGTACTAAATAGAAACTGAGAGATGAACAA